CACACACACACACACACACACACACACAGCTGGTTAACACATTTCCTGTGGGTCTCACACTTTCACAATAAAGGTTGATGATGCTTCTTCACCATTTGATCCATGAAGGAGACAAAACACCAGAAGGCGTCGACCTCGTTCTCCATCACAAAGAGAATCGGTGAGAGCAGGTCACTCATCCCCTGAACGTAACCTGACAGAACGTGACAGAGCGTTTAACACACACTTKACTAATGTTCCCTGACAGCTCCACAAAGATTTCATCAACAAAGAACCAGAGAAGTTCCCTCTTTGTTCTCTGAAGATTCCTTGTGTTCCACAGGAGGTGCTGCTGGTAACACAGGTGGAAGGTTGTTCTCACCGAGGTCGAAGTCGAACATGCAGTACGTCATCAGGATGTCGTGGAGGAGAACCAGGCCAGGGTTATCGATGCCCTCGTAGAACCTGTTGGTTCTGTCGGTTCTGTTCACATCTTTCTCTAAAAAGAGAAATGACAGAGAGACCTCACATTTCGACTGCGTCCAAACTTGACAATAAAAAATATTTGAGAAACCGTTTCCTGTTTCGGGCTGCAGAAAAAAGATGAAAAGACAAAGTCTCACCGATCAGACTCCTGTAGTCTCTGAGTCTGGAGTTCCTCCTCTCCTGCTCCTCACTGACCGACTTCCACTGCAGCTTCATCCTGAAGTATTCATCACTGTCAACGTCACAACAACAACTGTTAATGACCTCAGCACCATGACAACCGCACCACAAAACTCAGAGACCTGTACTACGAAGCAGGATTTGTGATGATCAGGTTAACCTCAGGTCTAATTCAGAGTTTTCAGTCAGTATAAAGCTCCGCCCACTGACCACTCCCTTCCTTTGAACCATGACATCATGTTCTTATAGTGGAGCTGCTGTGGATCGTTCCAGTCTCTGAGGAGGACCAGGGTCTTCAGAGACCCACAAGATCCTTTGAGATCCTCTGAGGAGTTTCTGAAAGATCTAGATTCTCCTCAGAGGATGAACCTTTGTCAGCTGCTGGAGCTTCAACAGAACCCACCTGACCCGTAGGAGCAAAGTACTCACAGTACCACAGACTGTCTGCATCTATGCTGCTTCACTTGTGGGAGTAATCAATTTCTCAATACTGTTAATGAGGTTCTAACAATCACATGAACCTCCCAGAAGAATCTTTAAATTGATTGATTGGTGTTGATGACAGAAATTAATAAAAGTGCTTAATCTGAAAAACAAAAAGACAATAAATCCTTAAGTCGATCATATTTCTTTCTGTTGATTCACTACGTAATCAATTAGCTGCTCGTAACTGACGGCAGTGGTGAGTGCGCTCATCTTACGTCTTGAGTCTCTGCAGAGCTTTCCTCTCATCCTGTGTGCTGTTCCAGGGAAAATACCCCAACAGAAACTTCCAAGCCTCTTTCCTCACGGCGTGACACAGCCCCTGCAGACAGAGACACAGACAGGTGACGACCAGCAATACACACAGCATACACACATATTTTATTATGAATAAAGTTTATTTGTAATGAATGAATCATCAACTTAACGTGCCCCTTTGAAGATGACTTGTTTGAGGTGAAAGATCCGGATCATCCTTCCCTCTGGGTCCTGGTGTTTGATCCAGTCCTCCACAGTCAGCGGCTCGCTCCTCGTAACCAGGGGCCTCGATCCCAGGTCGATCTGACAGATGGACATATACAGATGGACATATATATTTATATATATATAAAGACCAGATCAGTGACCATATGTAAAGATGACAACATGTCTTCCCTTCCTCTCATTAATGAATTAATTCATTAAATTAAGTTAAATATCTCAGATTTGAACGCTGCCATCTTGTGGTGATGACGTCATTGTCAGTCAGTCTGTGCAGTTGTGACTGTGGATGTGTGGTATTAAGGTCCCGCCCAAACATGCTCTTGACCAATCATGACGTCTCAGCGTGTTTTCGTATCATCAAATAACCAATAAAACACAAACCGTTCAGAGACATGAACAAACATCAGTGTGATAAGAACGACCTGAAATGACAGAAACCATCTTGGACAAACATTTATTTTGGTCCCTGTCCCAACATGGAGGAGGGGTTATGACCCATACTGCAGCCAGACACCAGGAGGTAAATGTAACTCAAAGTCTGAAATCAGAACTTTTGTTCTGAAAAGGCAACGTGACAGAGATGATGACCTCTCACCCTGGTGATGACCTCGAAGCCTGGCTCCTCCTGCTGGTTGATCTCCAGTCCTGGGATGACTTCACCCAGCAGGTCAGCCACCTCCTCTGGGGGGCGCTGGTGCTGCTCCTCTGTCCCACGAAAAGCATCAAATATGTAGTTGGTGACTTTGGAGAAGCCGCCCAGCGTGGTCACGTATGGGTCTTTTCTGAACTTCTGCCCGAGGTCAAGAGAAAAAGTTACATCAAAGTCCACAAGGAGGGAAAATGTATGACAGGAAAAGAAAATCGTGTTTCTCACGTTAACAAGGCCGAAGTTGTTGTCTTCCAGAAGGTTCTCAAAGGACTGAGACAGAGCCTTGTTTGTTGTGCTGACCAGCAGACACGCATCATCATCTGGAGCCCTACAACACAAAACACACAACAATCACCTGACAACATTCCCAGGTGAAGCTGAACCGATTCAGTTAGAAGACAAGACAAGTCAAACTGTGCATGTGGAGTTAATGTGAGTCACTGTTGACTCATAAGCAAGAGAAGGAGGCAGTGCTCAGTCCATAGAGACTTGGCTTGGGAACCGGAGGGTGGCCAGTTCAAGTCCAACATGGAAGGAAGTTGGAGAGGTGCCAGTTCACCTCCTGGGCACTGCCGAGGTACCCTTGAGCTCCGAACCCCCCAATTGCTCCCCGGGCGCCTTCATGGCTGCCCACTGTTCAGTGTGTGGTCACTGTGTGGATTGTGTTCCGTTCACACGGATGGGTTAAATACAGAGGTCATATTTCCCCATGTTCGCATGTTGCTGTGTGTGGGACCATATAGAGGAATCTTAATCTTCTCAAACTCAAATGTCAGAGTCAGAGCGTCCACAGTTTCTGCAGACTTTCTCCGCCTGGCGCCCTGGTATAAAGTCAGAGGAAATCAATGTGAGAACACAGCAGGGTTCATAGCGAGCGAGTGGAGGGACGCAAAGATGATGCAAAACAAACAGTGTCCTGGTGAGTCACACACGTAGAAGACACTGGAATCAAGAGAGGTTGTGGTGATAAGAGCAGACGCCTGTGACGATGTATATAAAACCATCACTTCCTGTCTCTGCCTGCTGCTCCTCACCTGAATCTTGCGAGTATTTGTCGTTGGAGTGAACGTGTCTGAGCCAAGAATCTACTGCTATGTTGTTCATGTGTGGAAGAGATCCTGCGGATCCAGTTCTCTGGAGTTCCTCTGCAGGACATATCTGGAAACAACTATAMAAACTTAAAAATCCATTAAGGAGGTTATGTTTCGACTGTTTGTTTGTGAGCTGGATGAACAGATGCCCTGTAAACCTGGTGGAAGACATGGTCTGGATATTTGGATTTGAATCTTTTTGTCTCTTTCTTTCATATTGTGAGATAAAAAGTTTTTTTACATTTTTACTTATTCCTCAGAGGATAATTAATGATGAAAACAATCAGGCTGATATTTATAAATATGTGTCATTTGGTGCAGATTGAAATTAAAGGACTGATGATGGAGTGAAAAATATTTTCTTCTCATTCGGACTCAGCTTCAGTCGTCCTCTCTGATTTTCTTTCATCCCATAATGCCTTTCTTTGGCGACGGGCTACTGACTTACTCGCTAAGCAGTGCAAATCTTCCCAAGCTGTCCAGGAACTCTCTGCTGCCACCCTGGTGGAAGTGCAGAGCAGGGAGGGGTGGGGAGGACTCCTTCAGTTTGAAGATGAGGAAGGTCCAACCTTCATCCTTCACTGTGACGGAGCTGAGGTCACCGACACTGAAGCTGAACGCACCCCTGCTCCTCTCGTGGCTGTGGTTTAGAGAGCCTGAAAGACAACGCACAGGAAACACACAGCAACATCAGCATTACTTTCAAAGTAAGAGCACTAAAACAAGCTGTCAGCTGTTATTCAGTTCTGTCAAACTGAAAAACCCATAAATATCATTGTCAGTATCTAAATATCAGCAATCCATCAGTAATCAATAATCAGTAATCTGAAGGGTCACATGTTTCTTCTGGAGTGAATGTACTGAAACAGTTCTCCTGTTCACAGGAACATCTCCACACATGTGGAGCCATGAAGTCACCTTCTCCGTTGGCGCAGGGTTTCCTCCTGAACGACGCAGCATTGACCATGTCCCACTCCGTCTCGTAGCTCTGCTGGGTTTCCAACTGCTGGTGACACCGCTCCCCCGAACACTGAGCCCACTCCATCACTGAGCTGGAGTCCTGAACAAACACACCCGTCACTCACCTGTCATAAATACACACCTGCTGATCAGGACACATCCACGCTGACTTAAGTATGTGGACACGTTTCAAACCTGATCTCAGAGCTGAACTCTGGAGATCACATCACCTGAGACAGGTGGGAACACCTGGTGAGAATGGGGCCTGAGGCTCCACCCACACTGACATGTTTCAGTTTAAAACGCATCCCTGTTGCCATGGTTACACCTGGCATCCACACTAAAGCCTCTAGATCAAAGACTTGTGTAAACTGGTCTTGTTTTAGTTTGAAAACTCTTGGGGGTGTGTTTTAGTCTAAAGAGATACACAATTACAATGTTTGTAAACGATGACGCCCACGTTCTCTTCTCAGTCACATGACTCGACCACCAGCGGTGAAGACAAAGCGTCGCTAACGCTTCCTGTCAGGAACCGTTCCACCTCGTCGTCGCTCAGAGAAAATAAATCCCTGCTCTGACTTTCACCATCACTGCTCCTCCTTCAGAGGAGGTTCTGTTACTAAGCAACCAACTGCAGAGACAATCTACTTCCTGTTTACATCACATGACCAGTGTACGTGTCTGGTCATGTGACCTGTGTGTTTTAAAGTGTGTCAGTGTGGACGGAGGTGGATTTAGTTTCAAAATGTAAATGTGTCAGAGTCGCTGTCGTTTTTCGGCAGTTGGAGCTACAGCTGTGACAGGTCAGAGGTCATGGAAGAGATGATGATGTAGTAACGTGACATGTGGTGAGCTGGTTTGACTCAGACTGAAGAAGTTGCTGAGTCATGACAAACCTTTCCAGCACACAGCATGTTGGACGGGTCCACAGCTTCTTCCAACGGTCTGTACTCCACCATGACGTCTCCATCCTGACAGAGCGGAGACAGATGTGCTCATTCCACACACACAGTGAACATGTTTATTACACATTAATGAAACAGTTGATTGATAATCAATAAAACTTTAGAGTCGTCTGATCAGAGAATATCAGTTGGTCAGCATCTCACAGTCACAAAGAACAGATGAGTCAGTACTGAGATGAGCCATATGTGACCATATGTGATGAATGAACACGTAGGACTGTGACGGTAACTGGAATACCACGGTCATGTGATGTTTTCTTAGTGGTTGAGCTCATTAATGTCATCACCGCAAATCTTTATTATTTGCTGGTGAAAGTTACAGGAGTGCATATGTACGTTTTTTTGGAGGGGCAGATCTACAAAACACGCTAACGTCACGGATCAGTTGACCTGAGTCTCACCTTGTCAACAATTCGAAGTGACCCTGAGACGAGTAAATCCAGCTCGATGACATCTTCCTCACTGCTGGGATGAATGAAGACGCCTTCATGTTCAAACAGAACCTGTGTGACAGATTTTACATCACGTTACGTCAACTTACATTACATCACTTTTCCCCCCTGTGCAGTCTGAGCTAATGTGATCTACATAAAAGATCAAACTCAGCATCACGTTTAACAGCTGAAGATAATTCCAGAACACTCAATGACTTGTCAAACATCTGGATCAATACTCGTTATCTGTACACAGTGAATTGTGATTGGTCACCACAGACGGCAGGTTGTCTGGACCTGTAATCTGTCTTTGACGTGGCCTCACACTGATAAACATCAGCTCTCTTACGCAGCCCAAACTTTTCCTAAACCGCAACATCAATGAAAACATTTTACTGTGTGTCTGCTGCAGGAGCTGGATTCGCTTGCTCTCCAGAGGCCTCAGGTTTGACAGGTAGATGGATGTGGACCGCTGCACAGTCCGAATACTTCAGTGTGGAACTGGTTCCACCAGTCAAACCAACAATTAGCAACACAACAGCTACTGATAAAGCTACGACTGTCAGACCAGGGAGATTTATTGTGTCTGCTCCAACATGAGCTGCAGGGAGACAGGAGATCCTCCTCCTCGTCACTCAGCAGAACACATCAGTCCCTTCAATTGAATCTGCATCAAATCACACACACTCAGAAATATCAGTCTAATGGTTCTCATCATTAATGATTGTCAGAGAGAAGATTAAGAAAAACCTTTGTCTCACAAAGTTAAAGAAAGAGATGACAGGACTACCCTGAGCCTCAGAAGCCGAGGACCAGACCTGAAGTTCAGAACCCGAGGACCAGACCTGA